TTAAACGCCTCATTTCTATTTTCAGCTCTCTTACTTTTCCAATCAGCTATTGGTTATGGGTTTGCTGTATCCTTATAATATACACCTATATCAGGTTGTTCATTTCGTTCAACAATAGCGTACAGGCTGTTGATCTCCCGGGTCCACAAGGAAATAAGGTGCTCCTTATATACCTGAATGCCAATGTGTATCTTGTCAGTGTGGGGGGAGAAATGAACACTTAGATGAATGCACTTGTGCATCTGTATGACGGTGGACGTTCATGTAGCAGTAATGATTGTTGATACAAGTATCGTATTTCACATATATGTCATAAAGGGGCGGTGGTGTAGCTGAGTGGTTAAGGTGTTGGCTCATCACGCCAAAGGCCCAGGGTCCATTCCAGTTATAGGCTTATCTTAAAGTTCAGTCTTGGTGTCCTCCGCCGTCCTATGGGGTCGTTGCGATTTGCGAGTTTAAACAATTAAAGGGCGACTATCCCCGAGCAAACTCGGTTTTAGTAAGTTTGGCTCCAGTCTTTCAAACACAACTTACTTTGTCTGTTGACTCAAATTTCAATATTTATATTAATCTAAGAGTTCATGAGTACTCTGATTGACCTAAGTGTCCATTAGGCATTACTTACAACGTGTAGACCTGGACTGAAACTGGCACCAGACACAAAAGCGCAGTCGCCCTTTAAGTGCTAGTTTGCTAAGAAACTTACGTTTTTAATTTTATCATTATTTTAAATGATTAATTACTTTTATCGGGGTCATGCGTATCTAAACTGCTATATTAACTTTGCAACCAGCTACCAGTAAACGAATAGGATTATCAAGATATATTAAAAAAATCCATTTGTTGGAAAACCATCGGCGAAGGCGAAGGGAGATAACTCTCGATCTTTCATCCATGCATGTACCTAACAGAAATTGTGTGATCGTTAAATATCCAGTGTTACTACTTTTGGCTTCGAAGCTATGTAACAGCTGTCCATGGGTATGGAGTTCGGCCTTTCTATCGGAGATTCCTCTGGTACATTGGGCAAGAAGACAGCAACACAACGGTTCAGGGAAAATGTCCCCTAATATCTTAAATTGATCATAAATATTCTCTATATTACCACTTTAAATTATATTAACACCAGGGGAGAATTTATCAATTTTCAACCATATTTCACAAACAGAACTCCCCATCCCTCCCTGCCTAACTAATAGCAAAATTAGCATCAAGGGAATTAACACAAGTAATAAAGTCCCATCACATCTCATCGCAGCCAGACTGTGGTTTGAGTATGATGCTACAGCAGGACAGCCAGGCCATGGTTTGAGTGTGATGCTACACTAGGGCAACCAGGCCACGGTTTGAGTGTGATGCTACACTAGGGCAACCAGGCCATGGTTTGAGTATGATGCTTCACTAGTGCAGCCAGGCCATGGTTTGAGTATGATGATACACTAGTACAGCCAGGCCACAGTTTGGGTATGATGCTACACTATTAGTGCAGCCAGGCACTGGTTTGAGTATGATCCTACACTAGGACAGCCAGGCCATGGCTTGAGTATGATGCTACACTGGGGCAACCAGGCAATGGTTTGAGTATGATGCTACACTAGGACAGCCAGGCCATAGTTTGGGTATGATGCTACACTAGTGCATCCAGGCCATGGTTTGAGTATAATGCTACACTAGTGCAGCCAGGCCATGCGCTGAGAAACTTACACTTGCATGGCATGGAAAAACTTGTCAATTATCAACTGTATTTCACAAACACACCTCCCCATGCCTTTCTGCCTAACTAATAGCAAAATTAGCATCAAGCGAAATTAGCACAAGTAATTAAGTCCTATCACATCTCTACCTGTCATGGCAGTAGGAAAGACCAACTAGTCATCATCTATTTCTTGGATGCAAGTGTTGAAATTAAGTCTAAATCAAATTCATATTAACACAGCTGTTAACTTTCATAATGATCTGTAAAGGTTTTCCACATTCCTCTAATTAAGCATAGCCTATTACCCCAAAAAAGCCCTCATACCTTGTTGCTTAAAGCCTCGGAACCATGTAACTAATATACTAATAGTCAAATTAAAAACTTCACATTTTTAAAAGTAATCCCATATATGATATACAACGGACAAATGTATGAGAGAAGGTAATTTTTAATCATTAATGTCCAAAGAAGGTTTTTAATTAACAGTGGTAACCATAATTTGTTCCAAGCACCTACAGTATTCGGTAATAACATCAACAGTTTAAATCATAAGTCCCAAGCACGAGAATCTGATGGCACACAAGTTCAGTAGCGTGTATGGCCACCATGTGCATTGACAACTGCCACACAACGCCTCCGCATGGACCTTGTGATGCTTGTGAACACATGATTGGGAAGACGACGCCATTGTTGCTGCAAAATGGTGCCAAGATCTTGCAAATTCTGTGGTTGGTTCTGGAGAGTGCGCAGACTTCAATAGGATTGAGGTCGGGAGACCTTGACGTCCAGTCCATGACGTTGACTCCCGCATTCTGAAGGAAATTCCTTGTCAAAATTGCTGTGTGGGGCCTGGCATTGTCGTGTTGGAAGATCAAACCGGGTCCATGTGCTGCCATAAAAGTCAGAAGTTCTGGTGCCAGTACATGGTCGCGGTAAGCAGCAGCGTTCAGGTTGCCACAGATGACAAGAAGCCTTGAACGTGCATTGCCACAGAAAGCACCCAACACCATGACACTTCCGCCTCGAAATCTGTGAACTTCCTGTATACAACACTGGGCGTAACGTTCATGACCGCGCCTCCACACCCTCGCCCTACCATCAGCAAATCGAAGATTAAATCGGGATTCATCACTGAAGACGACTTGATTCCAATTGTAAGTGTCGCTGTGCCAACAATTGACGTTGACGTCTGTGTAATTGAGTCAGAATCGGCCCGCAGTATGGCCGTCGTGCTTGAAGGTGAGCAGTTCTCAGACGGTTTCGAACAGTTTGCGCACTCAGTCTACCCCTAAACAGTTCATTTCTGGTTGATGTAGCCGTCAAAAATCAGTTACGGAGGTGACGTAAGACAATCTGACAGTCCTCTGCTTGTGACGTCATACGTGGTTGACCTGGCCGAGGGCGATCAGCAGTGGTACCTGTTTGGTGTAGACGCGTCTGTAAATCATAAACAGTCCATCGACTACAACCCATCGTCCTTGCGACTTCAGCTACGGACGTTCACGTTGCACATTTGAAAGGCATGGCATAACAAATGGCCGTAAAGACTTTTGTTTTCTTGTGTTTTTCTTTTTTTGTTAATGACTGCTAACAAGTATGGCTGAAAACACGTGCGGTATTATGGCCACGTGACCAGTTGCACGTAAAAACCACTTTTGCCACTATAGTACTGTGCACATGATTTTGATCGATTCACCTGCACAAAAACGGGTGTTATCTGAAGACAATATGTGGCCATTACTGTTTAAATAAACAATAAGGGCCCACAATGATAACTGGTCAAAATGTTAAAATTTTAGGATTGTGAAGTTTTTAATTTGGTTCAGTATATTCTGGACAAACAAACTCAGTTATGGAGAATAACTTGAGATCATAGCTAAAATGGATAGAATTATCACTAAACCGCCTGCATGTTATCAGAAATGAGCGGGCCACTGTAACTTGATAATGCCCTCATATTGCTTGACGATGGGCCGATATCACACCCGTTGTTAGGTGATGTCATAAGATAGGGATAGGTGACGTCATGTTTAATAGTGACGTCATCTGGTTTGTTCTATGACTTTCCATATTTGTAAAAGTGGGTCAGTGACATTTGTGTTGATTGCAGTAAATGTTTCAAAAGCGATACTGTTGTATCTTTTTATTTGATAACAAATTCCATCCATTTCAGCTATAATAACAGTAATGCTATTTTTCAGGGCATTATCATTTGCAGAAGCCCCCGGTCTTTTCAACTGCCCTCCTTCGCCGGGCAGTTAATGGAAGACCTCGGGCTCCTGCAAATGGTAATGCCCTGAAAAATAGCGTTACCCGTATATTATAGCTAAAATGGATAGAATTATCATTAAACCGCCCGCACGTTATCAGAAATGAGCGGGCAACTTTAACTTGATAATGCCATCATATTGCTTGACGACGGGCCCGTTGTTAGGTGACGTCATAGGGTAGAAAAAATGACGTCACATATTAAAGTGACGTCATCTGGTTTGTTCTATGACGTTTCCATATTTGTAAAATGTGGTCAGTGACATTCGCGTTGATTGCAGTAAATGTTTCAAAACCGATGTTGTTTCTTTTTATTTGAAAAAAAATTCCATCCATTTTAGCTAAAATAACGGTAACGCTCTTCTTCAGGTTATTATCATTTGCAGAAGCCCTCGGTCTTTTCAACTGCCCTCCTTCGGCGGGCAGTTAATGGAAGACCTCTGTCTTCTGCAAATGATAATGCCCTGAAAAATAGCGTTACCCTTATATTATTATGGTAAGTATGAGAGTACATTAACTGCAAAAGAAAACATGTTTTAATATTCTATACTGACACACTTGCAGATGAGGCACGAAAGCAATATTAGATATTATCATACCTCCATGTCAGATTGATGAGATCTGATTGGTCCTCATGGTCTTTTTAAACACTCTGTATCCCGCCTTGGAGGAGAATAGATTTCTAAGCGGGTGAATAAATCCCTTTTACCCTGCCATGAGCAAGACGGGCTGCACATGGATTTATGAGAGGCAGAATAAATCCCTTATAACCCGCTTCCAAGCAAAGAGCTGCACGCTTTTTCCGATTTAATGGAAGTCACACGACATAGCGCAAGCTAACCTCAGCGCAATCGAACAGCTGCTTTCTATCAATTTTTGATTTATTTGAATTATTTTACAATGTCATATTAAAACATGTCGGTAAGATAAACTCGTCGTAGCAGGATAACTCAGGGTACTTGGGGTTTTATGCGTCCGTCGTTTTATACCAGTCGCCAGAGACTTATAACATTAACAAGAAAAACAAAATGAGAAATTGTATGGAATAATTTTAATGCAATCAAAATCCATATACTGTCAGTATCAGTACACTTATCATGGTGTAAAGACGTGAACATGAAGGAGGTATCACAGCTAAAATAACAGTAAATATACACCAGTGCTCACATGCTAGAATAAACTGACTTCAGAAAAACAGACTTCAAAATGATATGTCTCAATAATACTTGATAATACTCTCTATCATGCCAATTAAGCCAAGCTGCTCCCTCCTGTCTACTAGACACTAGACCACTAAACACTGTGTGGCAGTAATACTGTTTGGTTAGCTATGGCTCGAGAGGTTTTGGTCAAGGTGGAGGACTATTATAAGACAAGGAACTGATTTTTTCTAAATGTGTCTACACAACAGACTTCTCAAACGGATGCTGGTTATCATCTCAAATTAATTCTACATCACACAATCATAACTTTCCTTGCTAGAATTTTACCAAACCAATATTTGACAAAAATGCTTTGATTTACAAATTCTTTCAACTTTTCCTCTTTCCTGTGAACAGAACATATTATTCTGAATATCATGCCATGGTGTTGTCCAGCCTTAATTTTATCATTTTACAATCCAGAAAAATATACTTGAAATATTATTCAGGATACCAAAACACGAACAAGCGGAAAAATACAATCCTGGTAGTTTGTATATGACTTCAGACAATGACCTCAGTGTCCAATCCAAAAATGGAAACACCATCATCAAAACTAGTAGAAGCTGTTAAGACATCTTGATTTAATAACTGCTGAGTATGCAAAACCACTTTGAAGGATTAATTACTGATCTGGTATTGCTGGGATAAATGCAAGTCTATAAAAGCAGCACGATGTAAAGTTTGCATAATCAAACAATTCTAGATGTAAATATGTTGTACAACTATATAAAATATATCACAGAAAATAAATATATAGTGAGAGCAACACTTCTAAAAAATACATAATAAAATATACATATGTACATAATTATTTTCTTAACAAGGATTTAAAAGATAATAAGTACACTAATGTTTACAAATTAACAACAAATGGGTTAGCATTATCTAAAACATCATATCACTTCATTAAACATGTTGAAGTTGTTAATTTTTTTTACACAATATTTTTAACGAACATTGATGGATCTTGTTAAATAGCTGGAGACGAATGTGGACTGCTACAAGTTAGGTACTGTAGAATCCACCGTCATGTTTCCTTGAATAGCCGCCATTGGTGCCAGCGATGTGGGGGCTCTCTATAGTGACAAGGGAGATAAGTACGGTGGGATTAGTACTGTGAAGAGGAGCGACACCTGCCTTCATCAAGCATGCACCTGATAACCTGACTACAGTTTGTGCTTTAGTGAGATCCAATGTTTTAATCAAATTTCCCTTAATTAACTATTAAACTCACTGTTCACTGTTTATTTGTTACTTCATGAGTTAAACATATAAAAAATATTCCATTATCTTACAATTTTAAGATACAATCGCAGTCAATATTGGCAATGAATTTTTACAATTCTTTAATAAAAGATCATTGTTCTAGAGTTTCAACAAAGAGCAGATAATTAATCAGAAATGTCCCACTTGTACATTTTTATTATTTTACAGCCTTGATCAAACAATTGTACTGCTTTAGTACCCCCTGTAGAAATTTGAACAAATTATGTTTCCATTTATATATTTAATCCATGTCCAGTTAAATTTCCATCCTGTTTAATCAATTAAATTTATGATACGATTTGTTTTGACTAACAAGTTATACGACCAAGGTGCTTCACATTGAATACATTGAAATGCATCAACCAGTAGATGAGGCTGACAGGTGAGATGCAAGGATGAAGAAAAGCAAAGGAAGAAAGTCAGTCAATCCAATTTATGTAAACATGATTTATAATAATGTTACTCCAAACAATTACAGTAGAATCACCTGATTTTTTATCAGTTTCAAATTATTGATTTATCAAATCCAAATACATAAGGACACATTTTGTGTATGTATTCAAAACAATAATTCAAAATCGGCAATTTTTGCAATGTTTGACTAATTTTTCACGCACATTTAATGGGCATGTGAGAAGGCACACAGTTTACACTAGTTCTACTGACTAGTAGCGACTAGCTCGGCAGGACAAAAGGACATAGTTCACATCGGAAATAAGTCCTTGAATGTCCATGGAAGATGTCTACTGCAGTTAGTACTATGAGCAGGTAAGAAACTGAAAGATGAAAGAGGTTAATTGGAATGCAAGAGGTTATCAAAGCCACAGTTGTTCATTAAACTACTGCATGTTGTAAACAGTGTGTTTATAACACAGCATACCCTGTGCTGATGAGGTAACCCTGAAGCCTTTTTCAGTAATCCCAAATTTCATAAGATATTTTCAATAATTACAAGAATTAATGTGAATGTTAACTTTTGTCATGATGATCGAAATTCAGTAGTTGTGCATGTTGTTGATTACAAAACTTTCAATTTCCATCATGTGAGAATGCTTATTTCATAAATAATTCTCAATTATATTTTTTTTTTTAAAAACCCAATTTTTTAATATGACAGTTAATCTGCCATTGCATGACAGAATAGAGAGTGAGTGAGTATGCTGCTTCTATCAATATTCCAGCAATATCATGGCAGGGGACACCAGACCATTGTAGGGAATTGAACCCAGGGTTTCAGCGTGAGGAGTGAACGCTTTAACCACAAGGCTACCCCACCACCCCTTATGACAGATTAACTTTAGTCATGTGACAGAATCGAGTGTCCTTAACTTCTGTTGTGTAGTACAAAGAGTAACCTGTATATAACAAATGAAACATGATGTGGTTCGGGATATTTCTGTTATGAATTTGTTAGTTTCTGTTAGTGCTCCCAGCAAGAGACTGGGCATTGCCAGTTTTAGAAGACAAAAGCAGTTAGACAGAGGATTGTGAGATTCTAGACAGTGAGGAAATCAAGAGCAAAAAAATCCTCCGTCAGGTTTTCTAGAATAGCCTTTGTTTGTTGTCTGTGTATGGTGGCTCTCTGAAATAAACACGTCACAACATCAGCAAACTAAAGGTGAGGTGAAAAGGTTTAACGCCGCATTCAAGATTATTGTACTTAAGATATAGCTACACACATGCATGTGTTTGTGGCTGCTTGTACAGTCTGGAATAAAGCCGTTTTTAAGAGCCAGCCCACTGAGACACCATGCGGCAGTTTTAACATGTATTCCACCCGGTAATACTGACCGAGCCGTTCAGTCCTTGTCTTATGCCCTTAATACAGGCAGGGTAACAACAAGTACCTTCTTTTAAAATCTTTGGTAAGAGGCGGCCTGGAATCTAACCATCGACCTCCTGCTCTCTGGGCAGACACAATATCCGCTACACTACAGAGGCTGTCATCAAACAAAGCGTGTGAGTGAATACTGACTAACGCTGCTTTCAGCCATATTACAGTATATCACAGACACCTAGAAATAATTTGTCTAGACCAGAAAAATAGTGGTTGACAGCATGACACACTGTTGGGGAACAATGACACACATTGTGAGCACCCAATCTTCATTAACTCGGCAACAAGCATCGTACTGCAGACCCCCTTCCTCATCAAGGGCATCAGTGAACGTGATCACAGACATCCATGATAGAAGACCCATGCATATGTTAAGAATATATTTCCATGCAGCACTTCAAGGCACAACATATGTGTATCTGTACAGTGGAGACAAATATTTTCGTTTCCCCACAACACTTTACTTTCAGAAAGTCCACTATGCCCAGGGAAGGATTTGCTTCTATGGGACAAAATATATTTTTCAAGCAATTCTGGGAACCAATTTGCTATTATTTTATCATACAATAAATCCCACAACACTTGTACTAAAACATCAGACATATTTTATATGGAGGAAATGATCTTTGAGTAAGCCTATATATTTTAATATGATAAATAAATAAATAAATGATAAAATTATTACAAGAAATAATTACAAATATATGGAAACATAGAAGTATTTGTTTTACATAAAAAAAGTGAAAATCAAAATTAAAGAATTCAGGAATTGCTTTGTGAGAGTTTTGTTAAAAATATGGTGTTTTGTGAAATGCCAACTAATATATGAAAATGCAGACTTAACATTATGCTGGAGATAAACCCACCAATTGCATTCTTGATGCAGTGAATGTTCTCTCTCTTCGTCTGTTCGGAGATGCTGATTGGATGGTCCATTGTGGGTGCTTGTGGTACTACTACAACTGTCCGGTTCTTGAGCACCCTCCTGTAACAACAACAAGCTGGCACTTCACACACAGCTACTTTATAACACTACAGTAGTGATGCCCCGATCAAGTCGGGATCATCTGTTTTGCAAATATAATTTTATAGGTGAATATCACCGAACACATCGATTCTAGTCAAACAAAATCACATAGGTCAACAGGGTTTCAGATGGGTTCCTTTTCTAGGATATTGACTGATTGTCATCCAAAATAATTTTTCCAATTTTGATAATGATATAAAAGAATCATAACTCAATGAAATCATGAAAATGTGTTACTGCCCTAAAATTTAATTTAAGGCCGTCCCATTTAATTCAATAATAAATTGACAGAGCCTCTTACTTACAAGCCATTACAAAAATTAGTATTAAAATCCATAAAGGGAAGTAACTGTATCTAATAACCTAAACATATACAGTTACATTTTGATTAAATTTATATTGTTCTGACCATATGTAAAATTTATTTGAATTTTTGGCATAACTTTATTAGTGTTGCAAAAGTCATTTTGAACATTATATGTCAATGGTGGTCATTCACATGAAGCATAAATGTTTGGTAGGACCACATAAACTCCAGCGGAAAAAAAAGGAAACACACAATACTGTTTTCAGCATATAAAGTTTTGATAACATTTGTAATCTTTTGGTCAAATCCAGTTTTCAAGTATATACTTTCTTTTGCCCAACAGGTTATATGGTGTATATCATCAAGTAAATTAAGGAATGGACAACAAGCAGCTTTCTTCAATCAGGAACTTGCAGTAATGAAATGATCTTAAGGGTGTTTGGTAGTGATGGGGTACAGATGAAAGTTTAATCACTTTTTTTAATGTCCTAATATGCATATATGATTATGATATACAAATACATAATATACTGGTGACAGGTCCCTGAAAACTGTCATGGTTCAATGGTAGCCACTGATACTACATGTAGTCATGTACCATGTGCATTGTCAAAATGTATGAAGTGGAATTGCATACACATGACACTGTATGTATTTGGAGGTTAGTGATTAAGGAAAAGATTGGTATACATATGTGTTAGGGCTGGGACGAGTCAATATTTACAACCCGGGTACCCACCACCCTATTACCCGACCCTACCCGGGTACCCACTGTAGCTCTGAGGAGATGTCTCAAAATGTCCGATTGGGAACATTTTTAGCATAGCCCTGGCAAAACGTATTTAGATACATTAAACAATCTGGTCATTCATACACTGAAGTTGAATTAAGGTATATCTTTATTCAACATATGAAAAATCAGAAGGAATGGGTGCAGAGTTAGAAAGAAATGCGAACATTAGTGACTTTAGTGTAACCATAGAGTTCTAGAATTTTTTGTCATCAAACAATATATCACGTGACTAACCACGGGTCTGGGTAGTCCTGTGGGTACCCAGGTCCTACTCCGTACCCGAGTTACCCGGGTACCCGAGTTACCCGTCCCAGCCCTATTATGTGTAATATTTTAAGTCTGCTCCAAATCCTACAGTGCAAATCCACAAACTTTTCGTTCGAGACGATTCATAGCCCCCAATAGTGATGGATAGAAAATCTGATGTTTACGATGATCGGATGATGACAAGTACCAGCAGCTTGGTCACATGTTATAAACCTTCCAGCTTTTGATGGTTCAATGACAAACTGTAAACCTTAACTTTTACTGAAAAAGAAATTTCGACAACTGACCCATGTTCCCTGCCAAGAGTCTCGGGCTGGAGAAGAGTTTCATTTTTATCCTTGAGGAACTCTCCATGATGGTCATATTCTGACTTCAACACAAAGTCCAGGCTGTCGTGGGGAGCCACAGGGTCGTAATGTTGAACCTCCCGCCTCGTGCTGCTCAGGGTGTGCTTCGTGTTCAGACGGTTCCATGGGTCCTGCTTCTGGGCCAAGTGTGTAGGAACACCGTACGGTTCTTGCTGAAATCGGAATGAAACATTGGAATTATATTTCATTTGCAATGTATGTAATATTTACATTAAAATGTTGGTTTCTTTATTGTCAAATCCTCAATAGAACCCAAAATACAACAACTCATCATCAACAAATTGGATTGTGAATTTTCAGACACCTTAGACAAACACTTCTTAACAAATATGGAAAACTATTCATTTTATTGGCAGAATGATTAACACTCTAGTTATATAAACAAATAGTTTTAGTCCACTAGCCCTTATAGTAACATATAGCAAAACCAATTAAAATGGCAAACTTCTACTAGTCCTTATGATACCTAACTATTGGGCAGTGCCAGGTTATGTTGACACCAAATATTCAAAGACAAACAAACAAATATTTGGAAAGATGTCCTGACTTAAGTTTAGACTGGTCAGTCATTGTTTCCAAACAAGTGTTTGTAAACAGCCAAGACTTTAGTAGGCTCAGTCTGCCAAGTATCATGGGTTATAGCGAAAACGGCACCTCAGCAAAACGTCACCAGGCGAAAACGGCACCGATTGGCGAAAACGGCACCTCGACTCAAGCGAAAACGGCTACTATTGCCTGGCGAAAACGGCACCTTATTTTTTTTTACCTTGGGTCAAAAAAGTGCTATTAAACTTATATGGTAACTTGCAAACACCAATATAATTGTGAGATGCTAAAACAAGTTTACATTAGAAATTAGCCTCTACTCCAACTATAATCCAACTTAGCTTATACACAACACCATGCTTTGAAGAAAAATAATAGAAATTAAACTCACGTTGTCTTTACAAACACAAATAATTATACTCCAATTTACTCGCCGACTGATTGGGAGGCGCAGTTAACTTAATGTGAAAACACTATATGCTTTGAAGTGTTAAGTACCTTTACTCAATTTAAACTGAAACTGTATTTAGAGGCCTTACATGGTGCTGTCAGATCACAATTATTCACAATGGCCTTTCGATGTGTTGCATGAGAGAAGAATGTCAGAAAACAACAACATGCTGTGATAACTGTGACCATGTAAATAAACCATATATATTACCACAAAATCGTTCTTATCATTATTAAAAATAGAGGTGCCGTTTTCGCCCGACACATAGTAGCCGTTTTCGCCAAATGCGGTGTCGTTTTCGCCAGAGAAATCGGTGACGTTTTGCTGAGGTGCCGTTTTAGCCTGCACCCAGTATCATTAGGCTACTATTATTTCCGTTGCTATGGAGGATACATTTTGCAGACAGAATCAGTTTAACAAAGTATGGCTGAACAGTAATTATATATAACCACACAAACAAACTAATTAAAGCAGAAACGTGAAATAAGAAACTTAAAATTGTGTCAAATTTGCTCTGTGATTGAAAGTCATCTAAGTGATGATCGGTCAACTGAAGTCTGAATACTCGTGTATTCTTCAGCTTAGGTCTTACGATACATTATACATATACTTACTAAAGTCTGTCGAAGTCCAGCGAAATTTTCATCATTCTGCAGCTTTGGGAAAGGGTAGGGATCGCGTAGGGACATCATCTTGGCAGAGAAGTGAAAGCACACGACTGACAGTTCCACGCAACGTTGTATTAAATACTATAGCAACCAAGGGAATCATGGGTAATCCCCGCATTCGCCAAAACAATCTTTTAATATTAAATTATTTTAAATAGCTGTATACTGTCTAGTATTTTGTCTAGGAAATGTTGTTTTACTGACTATATATTTTCAATCCTATACTTTGTGATTTAGCGAGAAATAAATACCATACGGAATTCACCGAACGCCAACGAGTTGCGAATTGTATTTACCTAACAGCTAATGTTAGTTTTCTACCCTTCCCAACGGCTTCTGGCGAATTTCTTTCAAGCGGTTCTTCGATTCCCAAAGTAATATTGTTATATGGACTTCCTGGTAAAAGTGAGTTCCTTTGTAGCAAAAATAAACTAAATAATATGTTCTTCTTATATATTTGTAAATATGTACGCTACCCATTCTGTAAATGAATTTTACAAAATCCATGTCTTGTCTTTTTCATCTGTATTTAAATGTATATTTTCCGCTCTGTAAATATTGTCAAGGCGGCATCGAATAAAATCATGTCTTATCTGTTATTACTTGTCTGTGTGTGCTGTGGCCATGTGATTACATAACATTAATAGGTAAAATCACAGTTATTAAGACTCTGGCTCTTTAAACATTTGTTCGTATATTTTCAGCACTTCCAAACCCACCCGATGTTTTTTGGAAAATTTAATCAACTATTTTATACATTCATTTGGAATAACAAACCAGACAAAATAAAAAGATCTACTTTGGTTAGGTAATAGGAAGAAGGTGGTCTGAGAATGATGGATACCCGCAAATTTATTGATTCATTGAAATTATCTTCTTTAAGGACAAGTTTACAAAAACCGACTTTGTCAACATTAAAGAACTTTCAATCAAAACAGATATTCCTTTTGGGAGCAAATATTGATAAGTTTTTGATAGGTTTTTGGAGGCATATGTTGAATATTTGTGGTAATTACTACAGAAAACATAAAGTTGACAAATAAAGTGTTGAAGATATTTTGACAGAGCCAATATGGTTCAATCACCAATTTAAAAATATTTTCATTTTAAGACATTGGTTTAATAAGGGTATTCATAGTTTACCAGATTTATGTAGCAACAACAGATTTTTAACGTTTGAAAAATTACAAGACAAAATTTCAAATTAAAGGTACTTTACTTGACTACAACAGAGTAATGCTAAATATCCCTAAATCATGGAAAAAGCAATAAATGGCAGGTTTTGTATAACAGCTAATTTATACATAAATAACATTTTGAAAGACTTGTTGATAAGAACAAAGGGCTACAAAATATTTTATGATAAACTCATAGCTACAACTAACTTTCTTCTGATGTGTCATAAATGGGAAAATTAACTTAATCAAAGCATTTTATGGAATAATGTTTTCACCAATTGTAGAATGTGTACCAATGATGTTAAACTAATAGATTTCCAGAACAGATTCATAAATAGAGCTCTATATACCAAAAAGGAATGATTGAAAATGAAGTTAACGGATGATGACGCCGCTCTTTTTGTGTCTCTGAATCTGAAAACGTTTTGGAATTTTGGTTAGAAATTGAAGTGTACCTAAACTCGAAACTTGCATATGATATTCATATTACCATTCTAAATAAATTATTTTGCTACAACAAAAACAACTACCTTTTCAACCATATAATTCTTCTTGCAAAAAATACATTCACCAGTCAAGCATTAAGAAAACTCCGTTATGCTTTCCTTTCTTTATAAAAATATTGAAAGATATATGTAAAATAGAAAACAAATATCGCAATGAAAAGTAGAAGCAATAATAAATTCGACAGAAAATGGAAGGAATTATCAGCCTACTTAATATAATTTATCAGTCAATCTCAATATATGTATATACTAGTAACCATATCTTGATGTTTTAAGATTCTATGAATTGATACACTTATATACCTCATGTACCAATGTTACATTTATGTCTACTGAATTGAAATAAAAATATTTTAAAAAATAATAAGAAAAAAGGGAGTTACACTGCAGCAAAAACTAAACTAAATAATATTTTCTTCTTATATATTTGTAAATATGTACACTATCCACTGTAAATGAATAAATGAAATTCTTTGTCTCGTCTGTTTCATCTGTATTCAATCTCCACTCTGTAAATATTGTCAAGGCCACATCGAATAAAATCATGTCATAACTGTTTTTATTACTTGTCTGTATGTGCTGTGACCATGTGATTACATAACTGCTCCACCATCTGGGGTCGGTGACAGCCTGGTGCACCGAACCATGAAGAGTGCTGGTCCAAGCTGTGGTTCCCATGGCTAATACCGTATTTAGTCAATTAAATACGTTCCACAGGGCGATCTTAGGTGAGGTGAAGTATAGGGTTTACGTTCCACAAGGCGATCTTAGGTGAGGTGAGGTGAAGTAGGGTTTAACGTCGCGTCCAAGATTATTGCACTTATATAGCGACGTGAAGGCACGTGCGTGTGATTGTGGCTGCTTGTACTAGTCCGGACTGGTGCCGATTTATAGTGCTAGCCCACTGAGATACCATGTCGCAGTTTAACATGAATACCCCACTCAGACACAGTATACTGACTCAGAGCCGACCAGTCCTTGTTTTAGCCCCTTAATGCCGAGCGCCAGAAAGGGTAACAACAAGTACCATCTATTAACGTCTTTTGGTATGACGCGGTCGGGGATCGAACCCCGGACCTTCCGCTCTCCGGGCGGACGCTCTACCACTAGACCACGGAGGCGTTCTCAAGGCGATCTTAAAACATGCGCTAAGGTGATCGTTTTTCCCATACTTTAACTTGACTTAAGACAAACGTGGCACTAAGATCACTTTGTCGAATGGGGCCCAAGCCTTTATCAATTTCAGATTACTTTTAGACCCGGCCCATATCAGAGTCCGGGCTTTTATTTCACAAAGATGTTGGGAGTTACGACCATCTTAACGCTAAGATCGCTTTGTGCATGCGGACCATGGTATTGAAATTCAACGGGGAGAAATCATCAGCTGAAGGTGACCCTGCTTTCCTTAAGACCCCGAGCCTTGTTCAAGAAAGCGATCGGAGCGCTACGACTGTCGTATAGGTTACGATCACCTTAGAGCTACGATCACTTTGTGGAACATCGCGACATAGCGACATCGCGGTATTCCGGGTTAAAATTCTTCCTCAGCGATTATGGTTGTCCTAAGAGGCGACTAACGGGATCGGGTTGACTTGGTTGATGCATGTCATCGTATCCCAAATGCGTTTTTAGATGCTCATGATGTCAATCACTTGATGGTCTGGTGTAAACTCGATTATTTACAGACCGCCGCCATATAGCAGGAATATTGGAGTGTGTTCAAGAACACACATATTGGTGGAATACTGCTAAATGCGGCGTAAAACCATACTCACTCACTCAACAACACGCATACAGTAACGAAAGTGTGTAACGTTCTATCTACAATGAATTATATATACATGTATGTACATTTAGTGAGATGTAATTAAACGACTTCTGTCTGGGTTGGGTGAGGGATGACACTACATTTTCAAAGTAACCATTAAACAGAGCATCTATATATGCCTGGCTATAATAATACATAAAGAAGAGAAATATGGATGTCAACTTCTTTTTTATGAGAAACATAACGTTTCTCATTTGTTATCGGGGCGTTGCAGTAGCCTAGTGGCTAAGGCGTTCGCTCGTCACGCCGAAGACCCTGGTTCGATTCCAACATGGGTACAATGTGTGAAGCCCATTTCTGGTGTCCCCCGCCGTGATATTGATGGAATATTGCTAAACGCACGCTGCTTAAGAAAAAAAACCACTCTCATTAATTGTGTTAAACACGGACGTTGTTGGATATCATTTTTTAAAGCTCATTAACAACGGAATTTGAATTTGCAAAATTTGTCTTAAATTTTGGGTATCGATATACATATTTAAAACTTCACATGATGCAAAATAAACATTTTCCCCATGTCAAATAATGCGGGTTATTTAGAGGTATATTTGTTTGTTGTTGTTTATATTTCTGGAACAAGTAATAAATCATTGAAACTCGAGTAAGGAAGGAAAACAGTGAACGATAATCCCTTTTGACTGTTGATAAAGTACTGTTCTCTATTTCGAGAGTGCACCAGTCAATAATTATCGTAAAGGTCAAAAGTACAGTCAAACTTTTAAATCAACTTTTATTATCAGCAGACGTTTATTGTCAGGGAATATTTATAACAACAGCTGTTAAGAATATAGTGTTAGACCTTTTTCCCTTTGACGCATGCGCCTCGAGAGGGAGCGCCGTAGATTATTTTTAGCACAGTTTGGCAAGTGTAGGGCATCCCTCTCTTATCGCCCAGTGAAATAGAAGCCTGCTCGTGAGCGTTGGGTGTCAAATACCTCCTGGCTTATTATTTTGGATGAATGCAGAAATACGACATATCTACAGCTTAAAGTGGACATAATTACTGATATTTTGGTGCAATGTTAAGGAACAACTTGTGGCCATTTGCAATCGCATATTGTCTCCTGTTGATGCATGTTGATGCAGACGATGTTCCGACTTGTCAACCGGTAAGATTTTTACATGGTTATGTTTTATTCCCTATAATGAACGTCGGTAGTATTTGTAGACTGTGTCATTGGGTAAATAAGCCTTTATATCAGTAGGAACGACAACGCAGTTTGTAAGGTCCATTCAGCAGTAGAAACTAACAGTTTTAGTCCACTGGTCCTTATAATGATATTGATAAAATGTAGCAAAACCCTTAAAAATGGCAAATTTCTACTAGTCCATATGATACCTTAACTATTGGGCATTTTGGCAAGGACTACAGGAGTAGTACCAATTTCTAACGCTGCATTTTAATTCACAGATTAAACAGTGGCAGAATTTCTGCTGTCTAGGCCAATATGGGCCTAATGTTGAGTGTAGATGATCACTGATAATGTTCCGTGAGATATAAGTGTAGACAAGTTAAAATAGTCATATCTCAGTAACACTTCATTGGAGACCGATTATGACCCTTACAGGTAAACAATGTGTAACATCTACGCTGTACCTTTCGTCAGCACCAAGTAAGATATTAGAAGGACTTCTAGAAATACTGTTGGTCACTGTTTCTCTTATCTAGTAGCACCCTAATTTCCATTGCCAACCAATATTTGAAATTAAGTATGAAAGTGATGAGGTCCTTATCATAACCTTAATGGTAACAGTAATGATTTTGGGATCCCTAGATTCAAAAAGTATTGGGCAAACCTCAAGGAGCCCCCTGTTAACAGGCTTAAATTTGAACACTGCTGACCATTAATTATAAGTTCTGCTGATGAAGCAGCAAAAACAATGTTGATGAAGTATATACAATGGCAATTTCATGATTCACAAAACAACATTTCAAAGCACATATTCGAGACACATATCATATTTTTGACAAGGAATATTGTGGATAACAACTTCTTTCACCTGATGAAGGGCAGAAAGACTCTCATATATGTGATTCTTAGTACATATTGTAGGCTATTGTGTGTTGATATTTAAGAAGGTAATGAATTTCGGCTATATCTTAAGTGCTATTTGTTTCAAATAGGTCACTAGCCCTAAAACAATGTACATGATATAGTGACCATGGAGACTACTGCATAAAAACCAAGGCACCATACACAGATAGAAGCAGTTGGACATTATAGCAGAGTAAGTTACATTCTTCATGTTCATGCAGTCGTTCCAAATTTAGCTTGGTCCACTTTGGCATTTTGTAACCCATTGTTCATAATTACGCATCTTTATCCCAATTTACATTGCTGCTTTTGAATTGGTTGTCCGCTGACTGCTGTTTAAGCATTGCCACACAAAATGTGAACTATTACTCAGCTGTTACAATCAATATTCATCAATTTACAACTGGAAGCGACATACTTGCTTTGGCGTCACAATGATCCCAGTATTTCAGGAGATAATTTAAACCACATATGGAAGTTTTGCAACATCTTCGGTTGCCTTGAATTGAAAGTGTAGTGTTTGTTTAGAGTGCTGTCTAAGTTTTCCACAAATGAAAGACTAGTATCATTTTCTTATGATCATGTGCCTATTTTTATATATTCTCATTCATTGGTACTGAGAAATCAAAGTGACTTTCCTTGATTTAACTGTAGTTAACCATACAATCGCTTTTGAAACTAAGACTTTTCACTGTCCAGAACAAAATGCACTATTGGCGTATGATACTGAAAATGATTTGGGATGTGCTACAACATCATGACATGTTATATAAGTGTCCTTGCACTGATCCAGTTGACAGCTTCTAGTGGAATTACTTGATTGACTAATTGTTATCTTAACAGAGAGACTGCTGATTGGTGTTCTTTCATTTTTCACTCATCCCATTTATGAGACACTGTGAATGGTGTCTCCTCATTTATCAGACAGCTTATCAGACAGCTTGTCATAGGTCATGGTTGAGTAGATTACTAATCCATAGACTCATACCTTTCCAGTAAAATAGATTCACCCAAACAAGGTAGTTGACTAGACACATATAGTTTAGTTGCATCAAACATTTAAACTTAACATTACTATTTCATGTGATATTTCTTTAAACATCAATATTCTATAAATCTATATTCATATGTTCATGTCATGTTCAGAGTTTAAACTAGGGTATTTAATAAAATCATAACAATGATAATAATTATCCAGAAGATAAACGTCTTTGCACATTCACAGTTTTCTATTTATTTGACCAATTTCAACAAGTTTTCCAACAGCATCGAAATACTGTAGTGGGGTCTTAGGTCCATTGACCAGCTAATCCTTCAGTCTGCAGAGATGATTATCAGTTTCCCGATAGGTGTGCTTTCAGGGAAGAGGCAGGGCACCAAAGACATATGGGAGATCTTGGTCTGTTCCACTTTCTCAGTCTTCTTTACAATTTCAACGAATCTGAAGACATTCGCATGAAGACATCTGTGGAAGCCTCCTAGATTGTTGTTTGTCATCTCTGGTTTCATTTAATGAGTTCAGTTTCATATCAAAACAAAACTCTCTGGTTTCCTTGAATGAGTCCAATTTCATAATCACGATAATGGCCATAGTGTTAATATTACACATTGATCCTGAGGTATTGCTCAGCTGTGGACAATGACCACTGTTGGGCTGATCCATTGTAGCAGTAGGTGATTTCATCATGTTCACAGTTGTCAGAATGGTCAAGTATAGCTGTATTAAACATATTAAGGTCTACCCTAGCTCAGTATAATGGAACAGTCTTGTGTTTTATCACATTTTACCAATGATTAGTGATGCATATTTTTATAGTAATTTGACAAATGGCACGGTTATTTATTTATTTATTTGAACTATAAGTTCCCTGAAAAGTTGATTTTGTTGGCGTGAAAACTTGCAGACCTGTTGATTATATCCAAGATCAAAGTTTTGAATTGCTCCCTGACACATGTTACATGCTCAGCTGTCCATATTCATGTGCATCATCAGTGCTTGGGCCAACTCCTGGCTTGTAGACATGGTTGTTGTGTGTATAATATCAGTTGTAGCAGTATAATGAGGGGTGCATGTGGTTTTATGTTCCCAGGCGAGTGATATAAAACCTAACGGGGGATGCATTAAGCCACATCCGTTGAGTTGTATAAAACCTAACGAGGGACACATAAAACCATATGTACCCCACGTAATACTGCTACAACGAATGTATCTAGTATGGACATGTTTTAATGTGACATTGTTAAAGAATTAACAGCTGTTCGAGTGAGCTGAGGTTAACTTATTCTATGTTATATGACTTTCATTGACTCGGGGAGGAGAACGCGTGCAGCTTTTTGCTTCAAAGCGGGGTATAAGGGATTTATTCTCCCTCTCAGAAATCCATGTGCAGCCTGTCTCGTTTGTGGCCAGGTACAAGGGATTTATTGTCCCGCTGCAGGGTTAGAAACTTTCAGTTTTTGTCCACTAGTCCTTATAATGATAACATATAGCAAAACCCTTAAAATGGGCCAATATCTACTAGTACTAGTCCTTAGGATACCTTTACTATTGGGCAGTTTGGTGAGGACTAAAGGACTATTGCCAATTTCTAACCCTGTGCTGAGAAATCATGTGAACCAATCAGATCTCATTATTCTGTCATGTAGGTATGATAATGAGATATGTCCCTGCAGCATCAGCTGAAAATTTGAGATTGTGAGTCAATTTATGTTTAGTATTCATTTGAAGTGTTTGAATAAAATTCAAGAGGTCCCTGTCATAATGCTAGTTTTAATAATTTTAGAATAAGGGTGCCTAGATTAAAAACATACAGCAGTTTGTGCCAAAAACATCTGCATCAACTAGCCCGAACTTGTCTCTTGGTGTAATTTTCTTTAGATTTTAGTATTGATATGTGGACTGTTATCATGGCCATAAGCTGAGCATACTAGACCAAACAAAATGTTACTAGACTCGGGCTTCAGACTAGTGGCTTAAATAGCAAAAACAGTAAATGATCCAGTCAGTCAATTGTCTTTTGTCATGTACATTGATGATCAATCATGACTTTGGACTGATTCAGAGATTGAGAAGAATATAAAAAATCTTGTTCTGTTGTGGATGGTTTGCACAGTAAAGTGTTTGAATCAAACCTGTTCAAAATTCATTTAGATTACACTTTCTCTAATAAATGTTTGAAAAGTATTGTACTGCCAGGTGTAAATTTGCAATGCATCAAAACATCAGTGAATCTTGACACCCCCAACAAGTATGCACCATTTTGACCACCCCAAGCTGATAAGCTGTGATATAAATGAATTCATGTTCAACACATTCAAAGTGACTTTAACTCACTCACTCTAATATACAAGAAACATTATCAGTTACCCTTAGTAAGCTGGAGACAGACTGGATATTGATACTATAGTTGTTTAGACTTCCCATATGACAGGAATGCTATTTAGCAGTGCCCTGCCAGCTTTTGTCAGTTGGTCTAATGTTAAAGGTATCCAGAGGGCAAGTGGTATTTCAGCATTTTAGAGGTGACCTTAAATGTTACCACTCTTTGAGCTAGTAAATCACTGCATGAGGAATTCAGAATCAAATATGGGATAAGTGTCTGACTGGGATAATATATGAGTAGAGAGTTCATCTGGTTTGGTAATATTTTCAAATGGCCTATGATGTTGGAGAATTGTAGTATATTTTACACAGATCCTTTCTAAGGCCAATCAATGTCCTGCCTAGAATTCTGAATTACCCCTGCTCTATGGTTGTTATGGTCTTCAAGAACTTGGGCGAACTCCTTGTCTGGTAAATTCTGCCGTAAGCTTGTCAACATTTCTAATAATCAATAACCCATATGTTTATTGATATCCCAACTGAAAGAGTAGTTCCTGCTGAGTCCCCAGGCATAGACGACTATAGGAACATGGTGAATGATGGTGAAATGTTTACAGACAGGAACAGATCCTTGATTAAATCAATGAATTGTACACACTGTCTGCAGGTTTCAATTTACATGGATGATATTTGCATAACAACTATATGTACATTGTTTTCTAGGCTACACAATGGCATTCAATCAGAAACA